TCTACTTGAGTACAGTAACGAAGTATTTGTACTTCGTTACTTCCCATCCCCGTCTATCACCAACATAGGCCAATCAGCTAACCAGTATTTTCGCCCCTTCCCAAAATTACTTCAACGGAAGGTTTCCAGATGGATATGCAGAGCAAATCCATCTGGCGGAGTCAGGTTAGATCATGACAGCTGTATCAAAAAAATAAATTGTTTTTAAAAATCATACATTGTGATTTCTTTTTTAGATTATTTCTCTCACAGTGGACATGCAGCTATGATGATCGATTCAGACCCCCTCCATGATTTCTAAATGGGGGAACCAGCCAAATATTAGGGTGTTTGAATACTTATTTTCCTAGCAGTATATGGGAGCTTCACAATTTTGGCTCAGCACTTTAGTTAATCACTAAAAGATCATCACAGTTTCCAGATAAGTTTCCTCAAAAGGAGTCCTGATCATTCTCACTATCACTTCCTTCACTCATTCCATCCTGCCATCACTCCTGAATGACATACCAAGATACATTAACTTCTCTGTACCAGTCCAACTTTCCAAGCTTGTAACAGCTCTCCTGTATAGTCTGTCCTTATATCTGAGTGAGCTATACCCACCTAAGCTGCACAAAACCAGAGGAAGAAAACAGAAAAACAGATGTATTGTAAAACATCTATGTTTTTACCTGCAAAGTATACCTGTGTGCAGGAGCTTCTGCCTTTATAGGCACCTGTCAGTGGCTCACAGCAATAATGGAGGGAGGGAGGACGGACAATATGTGGTAATGAGAGATGTGGTAAACAGAGTCGGCCATGCCTCTGTTGCAGCGCATGGCTAACGTGACATATAAACCCCATGCTGTGGCACTTTGTTTACATGTCACCTGACAGAGCCGAAGAGGGGCCTGGAGTGGAAAAGAGACGCTCCTTAGTACCAGCTGATCATCATGGTTTCTAACATGCAGCTGAGGGATTGCTGCGAGAAGCCTTCGTTTGTAAGATACATTTGTTGGATTCCTGAGAAGTGTCACGTAACAAAGTAGAAATACTTCATTACTTAAGTAGAATATTTTTTATTTTTCAGAATTCCACTCCTTACAGTTTTTTTTTGCAACGATCTCTCCTTTCTACTGATAACATTTTAAAAATAGACTTGTTAGTTATGTTTCTTTTAAGTTCTTTTTCATTATTAACTGCTGGTATTTTAAAACAATAAAAACCAGTGTTGTATAGTATC